CTGAGAATTGATAAAAAATGAGATAATTACCATAATATATATTAAATCTACTAACAACTTAGCAGATCCTCTTACCAAGGTGCTACCTAAAAATTTGGTAAGAAGCACTACAAGTGAAATGAGTTTAAAATTCTTTTTAGACACCAATAATAGGAACTTAACTTTGAATTAGTAACCTTTAATTGCAAAGTTTAATATGTAACAACAAGTTATTGTTATATGTATGTAAACACTAGTCAACCCATTTTAAATATGTGGAATACTAGTGTAAGCCATTGCGTAAATGAATGATGAGATTGAACTCTTAATGGAGTTTATAATTAAATGTCTATAGCAATAGAGATATAAACAATAAACTTCACCTATATAAACATAGAAATGGTGCTACTTCAACAAGAAAATTGAAAACTTTCTTGTAAATGTTTATGAAAAAAGATAAGCACATGACCATAATAGTACTAAAGCAGTTATAAACCTCTTGATAGAATATTAAATAAGTATTATGTGTGTTATATCTTTAATTTTAACACTAAGAGTTGATGTTAAATCTGTGAGCACTATCAACTTTGTTAGAATTCTAAGGTATATACATTAATTGAAGGTTTAAATCAAAAGATACCTTCTTGTATTCATAATATTTATTTGTGTGAAAGGTTAAAGATTAAACACCAACATTCCAAACTAGTGGGGGATTGTTGGTAGTTTAGAATGTGGTATATCTCACATTGAATAGAAAGATCATTTATATGTGGTTTAAAAGAGATTAGTTATGTTATTTAAGTAATTGAGCAAAGTGTTGGAATGAGCCAAGTTATATGGGCTTACTAGGAGTTTTCCTAGTGTGTCAGATAATTTTAAAAGTCAAATATACGCATTTAGGCATTTGAGGCACTTGGGCATGTTTGACAAATAAATTTAATTTTTAAATATTATTATTATTATTTTTATTTATTTTAAAATATTACTGATTCTAAATAAACATACTTGAATAGTGAAAAATATAATGATACGAATAAACATATCTGACCAGAAAAATATGATTGTTTAACTAAAATTTATTTAAACAATAAAACATAACTATATAGAATATCATGACTTTTTAAATTGGCTTGATTGGTAGCTATTCATTTATTATAAATAGATCTTTCTGCCTGACCAATTTCACTATTTCTAATTTAGAGAGTTTTAAGGCTTTGTTGTATTTTATAAGCATAATTGCCTTTAAAATAATATTCTTCACGCCTCAAAGCCATATTTTCTTCTTTCTTACTATTTTTGTTTTCTTAAATTCTCTAACATAAACTAATAGGTCTGAGCTGAGTCATTTTTCTTGGGTTAGGCACTTCCGGTATGAGTACAATATGAGTCTCATTTATGCTCTTCAGGCTATTGTTCCTATTTAAAATCGATAAGTAGAAACTAATAACATCTTTACAAACAATATGCCAAAATTTGTGATTAAACAAAGTATGCATATCGTCTGGTCCCGGGGCTTTCGTTGGGTGAATCTGTTTTGTGGCCTCAAAGATCTTTTCAGAAGTAAATTTTGCCCAAAGGGTATAATTCATCACCTGCGTGACTTGTGGCCTGATGGCCTGCAACACTTCTCCCAAATTGGACTGCCCATGTGTTTGGAAGATTTCTTTAAAATAGTGCACTGCTTGTGATGCCACCTTTTTGCTCTCCCTTGTGCCAACACCCCAGCCATCCTTAAAACCAAGTATTCTATTAACCTTTTTCCGTTGAAAGGCTTACGCATGAAAATATTTTGTATTTCTGTCCCCCTCCCTAAGACAATTCAGCCTAGATTTTTGGAACCAATACATCTTTTCTTTTTCGAGCAAACAATTCAACTTATGGTTTAGTGCCTTCTACTTACGTATCGCCGCCTCATCATTGCCTAGGAATTAGGTGAGTTGTAATTCTTTTGTCAAACTTTCAATCTCTGCATGCATGCCATGAAATTTCTCTTTCTCTTACGTAACTAAGTTGCCCATCACTTTTGCCAACTTATGTCTTATTCCTCAGTGATGTTCCTCACTCCATGCAATCTTCACAATTTGTTCACACTTGGGTTCGGTCACCCACACAGCCTCGAATTACTTCCCTCTTCCCTTTCTTTTGTGCTTCCTGTTTATTCGATTTCCCACCATGTCAACTAAGATTGGACAATGATCCGAAACCGAACTTGGGAGACGTGTCACCTTGTGATCTGGAAATAACTTCCCCCACTTTCTGTTGGCAACCGCTCGACCCAGCCTCTCACAGGTCCTGTTTGATGCACATGCACTTGTTCCCCTGCTCTATGTGAATTGCGTCCCCATAAAATCGAGGTCAGCCATACCCGTGTCTTGTAGAGCGTTTCGAAACTCTACCATCTGTCATTCGGGTCTGTTGCCCTCTCTCTCCTTCTCGATATCCCATAAAATTTCGTTGAAATCTCCACAGCATAGCCATGTTAGTTGGTTTAAATTAGATAACCGTCTTAGTGTGCTCTATGCATCCGTTCTCTTTCTCGTGTCTGGGTCCCCGTAAAAACCTGTAAACCGCCATTCATTTCTACCATCATCTGTGATCACAGTATCAATATGATACTTGGAATAATTGAGCAAACAAACCTTTAAGCGTTCTTTTCAAATCAAAGCTAGCCCTCAACTCCTCCCTATTGCGTCAACTCTAACCAACCCGTACATTTTGCATTTTCTATAAACACTTTTCATTTTGTCTACCATTGAGATATTCTCGCTTAAAAAGGCTACCTTGGGGTCTTCTTTCTTTAACAACTTTTGAAGAGCTTGAAATGCTCGTGGGTTCCCAAACCCACGATAGTTCCACTCTAAAACCCTCATGGCTCTCAGCAGGACTGGTCCTCAATCTCCGTCGATAGTTCTGGACTTTCATCTGACTTCCTCCAATGTCTCTTTTTACTTCTTTTCTCCCTACAATCAACTTTCATTTCTGCGACCCCATTCGATTCATGTTTTCTTTTCACTATTTCTGGATTCACACCTTGGCCTTCTACCGTTGCGACTATAGCTAACTTCTTTCATTTCTTCTTTTTTGTCCCAATATTGGTTAGGTCACGTCTTGACATGTAAGTCCCACTGCCCCCGAATCGCTTGCATGCATGGGGTTATGAGCACTACCCTCAACCGTGTTTGTAAGTCATCTTGGTGGTCCCTCTTGTCTTTCAATTGGGCCTCGTTGCTTACTTACTTGATGCCATGAAAAATGCACCCATAAACTTCTGAGATTAAAGTATCAGTCTATCGGGTCGAGTTCTTATCCAGTGTTGGGCCCATTTCCTATATGTTTTCCAAATCATGGTCCCCACTTTCTTCTTCGTCCTCTATGCCAACTTTACGAGCCTTCCATGCACTATCTTCATCGCTTATGACGTTTTACCTATAAACTTCTCTTGTCGCGCCATCAAAGGGATTCAAAAGTTGATCATCCCTATGTTCACCCTCCGGGTTAACCTCCATTACGCCTGTACTGTCCATCTACAGTTCACGCGCCACCTCCCACTCTCTGTCACCAAGATTTGCCCATCCTCTTTTGCTTGCTTCCTTCTATGATCATCCCTCACTGGCCTTCCCCTCTCCCAGGATGAATCTTTCCACTTTAAAGGTGACGCCCTAAGCCGTGCGTCATATTGCTTATAATCATCTTTGTCTACGCCCTTCTATATTGGTTTATCACTGTCGTCCTCCACATGACCAAGTTTGTCATAAATGTAGCAAAAACTTGGCAACCGTTCATAGCTAATTCTCCCCCACATTACCTTCTGATTCCCTTCCATCATCATCGAGACAGCTCTACGTAATGGTTTAGTTACATTAATCTCCACCCTTATTCGTAGAAATCTCGACCGCCATCTAGTACTTTCCTTTTGTCCTTCACTATAGCAAATTTAAATAAAAACCTGTTATCTTCTAAATCCACGATCTCAACTTGTTTTACCAGACGCCATAATAGTTTGGGAGTACTTTTTATGGCCTTTTTAATTATAAGGCCTCTTTGTGAGGAGCATGCCCACAAGCCATGCTTTTTCTTCCCCTGTCTCCATCTTTTTTTCCCCCATATCGGCCATCACGCCATCCTTTTCATCCTCTGTCAATTTAAGGCCATTCCACAATAGATCCAGCTCTTCTTCCATTTTCTTTTTATTCTATGTATGACGTAACTAATCTAAAAAGCACTAAAAACTCAAAACACTAAAAGAAACTACTAAGATTTCCTATCAGAACCACCTATCCTGATAATCCTGAGATGAAACTAAGAAACTCCTTGTAAGCTCACCAAGACTCTTACCCTCCCACAAAGAAACTTAAAGAGACTAAATTGAGATGTTGATTTGACAATAAATATATCTTATATTCACATTGCTTGATTACTTAATTTATTAATAAACTTGCATCTTCATGTTTGAGGGATAACAACCGGAATAGATTTGGATGGAGGGATTTGGAGTGAGAATTGGGAGAAAAGGAGAGAGAAAAGGAAACAAAAAAGAAAAAAATTTGAATTTTTTATTTTTAAGAAATTATATTTTTTCAATTTTAGGCCATGTCAATTTTCCTGGAAACGAAAAAATGAGTTGGTGTTGACTGTATCATTTATCAACAATTTATTTGGATTAAAAGATTATTTAGATACATGTTAAAAGTTAAAAGTTTAATTAAGTACAATAAAAATATAAATTTATTTTAAAAAAATATAGGGATTCATTTAGTATTTTAACCTATATTTCTCGTTTCAAATTTTTAGTATATTGATAATAGCAATGAAAAGGCAATAAAAGAGCTTATTAATCACACTTTTTTTGAAGTTACACGAGTGGAGAGATTTACAAAATGAGAGAAAGACTATCTCTTAAAGTGTAGTCTAAAATCATATATATTTAAAAAAATTTTGTTAATGATCATATTAAATAATATCTTTTATATAGATGTACACCACCATTAGACTAGCTAAGTGGTACAACATATATGATCCAGATGCGTTAGAAAGACAATCCTCTTCTACATGCTTGAAATGGAAGCGAATAGGTGGAGTAGCACCCTATTTCTCTAACAATCTCGTCGATCAAATCTCCGCAAATGTGATGTTGCAACGCCAAACCTATTCTGCCAATCTCCCGCCTTTCACCCCATGCAATATCCTTGCACACTTCATCCACGCTGTGCACCATGGCCTCGCTTCTCCATAATGCTGAAACTGCATTGTTATCCTGATGATTATTGCTCTTTGTAAATCTATCAAAGAAGTCCTCATCTCCTGGCTTCTTCTTATGTAATTGCTTCTTCTGCTGTTGAAGGGTTCGTCCTAGTCCTAGAGTCAGTACATAACACCATCATTGAACATATACATACATATATATATATATATATATAGCTTTCGTAGTCAAGAAAATTGGGACAGTATGATATGCATCCCATGATGCGTAAAGGTTTCAACAATGGATTGATCTTTTCAGAAGAAGCAATCAATCCCAGCTATACGTTGCATTTCTTTATTGGGGCTCCTTTAATTATTTCTGCAAAGCTTCCTTTTTCTTTTTTCTTGTTTTATAATCATTTTTTTGACTCAGATGCTCAAAGGTAGAACTCGTGGTTCACACTGCTTGAAACAACAACAGCTGAGAAGGTTTCTTTCAAACATTTTTATTTAAGTTTTTTATTTAATTTTTTAAAATAATAATAAAAATAAAAGCATTAATTAAATCAGAAGGAATCTCACTCAATCATACATCTCTTTTAATTTTTGACTACATAAAATTCCTTTATGGTTTATACACGCAAACCAAAAACAGTGTTTTTTTCTTTTTTAGATATAACCACTTATGACTGCAATTAAAAAAGAAAAGAGAAACAGCTGTCAGTCATATTTTGTGAAATGCTAGCTGGTCGTACTATATGATTGCATATGGCAATAAAGAGGTTAATTTTGTCTCCCACTACGGTGGTTTTATAATGATGGTAAGGCATGGAATCCGAGACATGAGGCTTCCTGTTCAATGGAACCACCCCTTGCCTGCGGTTGGGTTAAAGTTTTCACTTGTAACTAAAAGAAGAAAAAACTTTCATTTTTATATGTATTTTGTCCTTCAAAAATTAAACGTTCTTAGAAATGAATGACCCCATTTAGCTACCAGCGTGAGCGAATGTTTAGATGAAATGAATCTGATTCACTCAAAGAGATCAGAAATATCGGTAAGCTAAATGATGAATCAAAATGAATCTGATTGACTCAGAGAGCAGAAATTCATGTATATATAATAATAAAATATTGTAACTGATTTAATATACAGAAATTCATTTGAAAATGTTATAATAAAGATATTAATTTATGTTATGAATGATTTTTAAAAAATAATAAAATTTTTTAACAAAATATTTGATTTAAAAAATTTTTAATTTAATATTTAAATTATAAATATATTAATTAACATAATAATAAATAATATTTTACATATTATATTTATTAACATATTTATAATTTATATATCTTATTAAAAATTTAAAAAATATATTTCATTATCATTTAGCTACCATTCCTAATAATTTGCCCTGTTTATATTAATTTCCCCTGGCGCATGCATATTTAATATCATATATGTACAAAAGAAAAGGCAAATGAATGAATGAAATGGAAGTTAGCAGTAGCAGGGATACCAACCGAAAAAAGAAATGCAAAGAAACGGAAGTTAAATTAATTATCAGTAAAAAAGGAAGAGATTAGTCTGATTTAAAGAAAATGGAGTGAAATCTTGAATTTTCAGCCTCAAAGGACTTACTCTCATTGTTGTTCCCAACGCTGACGCTTGTCTTCACAACTTCAATAACTCTTTGAAGGGCCTTCAACTCCTCATAACACTTCTCCAGTTCTCCTAGCAACTTCACTCTCTCTCCGGCAGTGGATTCTGGGGTCGGAGGAAACTTATCTATTCCCATCAACCTTGCCACAAGCGCATGTGGAGGTTTCTCATCTACGGACTTTGATCGCCGCAGCTCTGCCGGTATTGTTGGACTCCTTGGAAGGGTCACAGCTTTTAGCCTCTGTTCATGGGCTACAGTTGCAGATTGCTTTCGCTGCTTTTTCCCTGAAAATCACAAGTGGTAGGGAATAACGTAATCAATCATGTTCTGCATAGAGCAATTAGTTGTGGAAAATTTATTCTCAATTAAAATATAAACTCCGAATTCTTTGCAGAAAATTAACTAGTGCCAAGCCATCGCCAGAAGGAACGAACCAGAAGTGAGAAATTTAGAGCGTTTGTGGTTTCTGGAAAGAAGGTTGAAAATGGCAGACATGCAAGTAATGGAATTTTGCCTTCGGAGAGAAGACGATGACTGTCTCTCCATCTTCTAAAATTTGACATCTAAGGTGGAAAAAGACTGGAATATTGCGTAGCAAGAGATGGTGCCAACTGCTGTATTTATATATAGAAAGCAGGAAAATCAAGTTCACTTATATTAAAGAATTGCAAAAAGTTACACCATTTATAACTAGGAAAAATAAGTATTTAGGGTTTAAAATTAACAAAAATACTAAAAAAGTTTCTATACTTTTTTAAATTTCCTAAATAAGAGTTTATCTTTCTATTGTATTTTATTTAATTCTTAAAGTATTATTTTTATTTAATTAAATTTGCATTTTGTATGAAAATTACAAAAATTCGTTAAAAAAATAAGGATTTACTTAAATGACAATAGCATTTTAAGATCTTAATTAAATAAAAATAATACTTTAAAGACTTAATTAAACATTTAATTGAATGAAAGTAATACTACAAAAATAATATTTAAAGATTTAATTAAGTACAATAAGAATGTGAGCTTATATAAAAATTTTAAAAAAGTACAAGAATATTTTAGTACTTTAGCATTAAAAATTTCAGCAATGAAATTAAAAAATTTATCACATTTTCATTAGGATTTTTTTGGAAAACGAATTAAACTTTTAAATATTATATATATATATATATATATATATATATATCTAGAGAGAGAGAGATGTTGGAATCTTTGAATAACTCACCAATTAGGATCAGCCAATTGACTAAAATTTTCCTAAACACTATGTTTGGATAAATTTTAATAAAAAAATGAAAGGAAAAAATATACGTACATCTTATTTGGATAATTAAAATTAATAAAAAAATGAAAGAAATTTTAGTAATCATTATTTTGATAAAAAGTGAAAAAGAAAGAAAATGATTCATTATAATAATTTTTTTTTAATTATAACATTTCATTACTTATAATTTTAGAGCATTTCTAGATCATGATATATTTGTTATTTTATTTGATCTCACAATTACTATTATATTAGTGATTTTTAATCAAGTGAAATAAGAAATTATTTTATAAATATGCATTGATGGATGATTGTAAGCTAATCCGACATCTCATAAACCTAAAAAAATGTCTATTCATACTCAATCATTCATCAAAATTAAATTACCAAAAAATTATAAAAAAAATTTATATTGGAAGAGACGTATGAAATTTACTTGAAAAAAGAGATACGTTTAAAAAAAATTACAAGATGATTGTGATGTGGTTAAGTTTTTTTACTAGATTTTTAGTATTAATAAAAAGATGAATATAATAATCTTTTTATAAATAAAAAAAAAAAATTTAACTTTTCTTTGTTTAGCTTTTCTCCCAAATTAGGATATTAAAAAAGTGAAGATTACAAAAAAAATCAAAGGTTATTGAGTTTTCATCTTTTTCTTTTCTTTTAAATTAAAAGTTTATCCAAACAAATGAAAAGTTTTTCTATTTCTATTACTTTCTTTTATTTTTCTTTCCTTTCTCCTCCATCAATCCAAACATAATCTCATCCATCAATCCAAACATAATGAATGGGTAAATACTTAGCAATTTATCCTAGTCATTTAATTTTTGAATTAAACCCTTATTATATAATAATTAAAAGGGATAAACTAATCTTGAAATCTTTCTGCAAGAGAGAACATTGCACACCTAAACAAATTAATAATTACCTGAAAACTATGCTCACTTAACTAAACAAAATTATCCTCTCATTTTATTACCAAGAGTAAGCACTACTAGTGAATAAAACTATTAGGGATCAAATAAAATAGGGTTAATCGTATTTGTAATTTTTTAACTTTATCAATTGGTATCAGGTGGATGTCATTAGGAAAATTTCACGTAATAGATGAAAGTATAAAAATAAAATTTATTTCAAAGTTTAGAGACAAAATATATTACTATCTTGATTTTTTTTATTTTAGATATATTTTATAATAACATTAAATTTAACATAATATTTTTTATTTTTTATTGTAATATAATTTATGAGTTAAATATTTCTTATTTTTATTGAAAAATAATTTTTTAAAAATAAAAATTAAGTTAAAATTTTCAAAATCCTTTCGAAACAATAATTCATATCATTTTGAAAAATTAAGTAAAATTTCTATATAGTTTGTAAAAACCGATTTATTAATCTATTCATATTTTTTCTATTGCAAAAAATTTATTTTGAATATATTAATTATTAAAATTTTATATTTATAGAAAATAAAAAATAAAAAACCATAACCGCACTTACCATCATCTGCAAGAAATCGAGTTATTGAAAACAATATATATATATATATTTATATAATTATAAAATTCTTAATAGAAAATAGATTCAAAAAAATTTTTTTTTATAGAAAATAGATTAATAAATTTATTTTTAAAATAATATTGAAATTTTACTTAATATTTTAAAATTATATTAAATTTTTATTTAATTTTTTAAACTGATATAAAAATTTTTACTTAATTTTTGAAAATAATATGCAATTTAAAAAAAATATTTTGAAAATTTTAAATTAATTTTAATTTTTAAAAATAAATTTTCTATTAAAAGTATTATTTTGCTAATAAATTATATCATAATAAAAATACAATTATTTTAAATTATAATATTTTATAAATATATTCAAGATGTAAAATATAAAAAAGCACTTTTTTCTTTAATTCTTTTATTTTTGTTTTCCTTTTTTCTTCTTTATACAATATACTTCATAAAATATATTTGAAAAAGAAAACAAGAAAAGATATTCAATATTTTTAATAGAAAATATAATTTGTTTGAATAAATGATAATATTTTTTATTATGATTTACCAACAAAACAATATTTAAAAGAAAATAGATTTTTTGTTGTTAAAATGATATATTTATATAAAAAAAAAAACTTGAAATGTTTAATTTTATTTTAGTTTTTGGAAATTTATTTTCCATTTAAAAAATAAATATTTAACTAGTAAATTATATTACGATAAAATATAAAAATATTATTCAAAATTTAATATTTTAAAAAGCATATCTAAAATATAAAAAAAAAATTAAGATAATAGTATTCTTGATCTTTAAACTTTAAGTGAAATTTTGTTTTGATCTTTCTATTTGTCACATGAGATGCCTGCTGATTTTTTTCATTTAGCAATAATTGGCATTTATTATAAATTAGACATAACGATTCGTGTATTCATATCATATAAAATATTAAAATTTACATATTTATTTTATGTTTTACATAAAAATTACGTATTATAATTCATATCGACATAAAAATATAAAATATTTTTTTTATTTAGTTAAACCTATATATAAGAGTGCTATAAAATTTTATTTTGATGTTCATGAAAAAGTGTTTGATATAATTAGGACTTGTGTGCATTTTGAATGAGCACAAATTCTTGTTTTGCATTGTTCCAAATTCTAGAGCATGTTTAATATGGGTTATGCCATATCCATTCTCTCTTAATTTGTACATATCTTATTAAAGGCATAAACTTGTGATACTAAATATTGCTATAAAATATATGAATTTAATGTAAGACCAAAATTCTAGATCATGATTTTAATTTTTCAAGCTTTATGAATTGTACCAAAGTTTTAGCTTGCTTGTGAATGAGATTCACATATGTTAAAGTTCGAATCATCTTGAGAATATTCATTAATAGCCAATGAATGCATAAATTGAAATCTATCGATTGGTTTGTTGGTCACTATTTCATTAAATGAGATTCATATGAGAAAATAAGGTTGGCAACGGGTCGGATTAGGGTGGATTTTTGTTTGTTCCAAATCTGACCCGATTTTATAATCATAAAACTCATACTTGTACTCGACCTAAAATTTTGTTTATTTTTTTATACTCGAACCCGACATTGTATAAACCGTATCTGACCTGACCCGACCTGAAATTAATAAAATATTATTTTTTAAAATATAAAATATTATTTTTTAAATATAAGTATATGTAAATAAAAAATTAAAAAATAATTTTTTATATAATATTGGGTCGGGTTGGGTTTGCCTAAAATCTGAACCCGACCCGACCTTGATTTTCTTTAATAATATCTTACCTAACCCGAAATCTGATTTTTTTTTTTAAAAAATCGACCTTATAGAGTTAGGTCGAGTCGAAACCCATCGATTTCGGATTGGGTTGCCAACCCTATAAGAAAGATTTGGGTACAATAACTTTGACTCCAACAAGCTATATTTTATGGAAAAAGCTCCTAAATTTTTATTACAGTAAAAAAGTTTTTAAATTTTATTTTGCATTGTAATAAACTCTTAAACTTTAATTATAATTAAAAAAAAATTTAATATTTAATTTATACTTAAATAAACTATTAACATAAATCAGTCTTTTGTTTGAAGTAAAGGTTTATTTAAATATAAATTAGATGATAATAACTTATTTGAATACAATAAAAATATAAAACTTATTTTTAAAAATTAGAATATTTCAAAGATTTTTTTAATATTTTAGTCAAATGCAAATACTAAAAGTATTTTTGAAGATATGCTAAAAATACTAAAAGTATTTTAGTTTTTAGAACATGCTTCATATTTTAGTCATATCTTATTAAATAGTTATCATATTTGAGCATATGATATATCAAAAGAAATGTATTTGAATGTTTTTTTTCCAACTATATAAAGTTTATCTAATAATTTTTTGTATGATAAATGATATGAATGATCCTTAAACTATAGTGAAATATTTATTGTGATATTTAAATTTTAAAAATCTCTAATGTAATACTTGAATTATGACTCTGTTAATTAATGTAATAGTCATCCCTAATGTAGTTAACACCAAATTATGATTACATAATAGACAAACAATCCTCCAAATACTATATTAGTTAAAATATTCATAATTCAAATACTATATTAAAAATTTTTAAATTTCAAATATCACATTAAATATTTACTATAATTTGATATCATTCGTAACATTAATTCTTTTTTATATTCAAAAAATTATTATATTTTTTTGTTGAAGTAAAAATTCTCTTAGTGCCAAAATAATTTTAATGCAAGATTATCCATCAATTCCAATTTGTCCAAAGTTATGAAGGCGAAGAATAATTTTAAGCCGTCAAAATCATTTCATTTAACTTCCAAAATTATTTGCAAACGTAGGTTATTAGAATGCAAAATTCCGTGCTTACAAGGAATTGTATATCGAAAAAGCTATAAAAACGTTGAAATTGAAATTATGAAAAAACTTTTTGTTAAGCTTGAAATGGTAAAAGGTTGATAAAAGACTTTGTAAGAGTAAGATTTTCCAATTTTTTAAATCCATTTGTTTTTCATCTCTAACTATGGTGTTTTCAACCTAACAGAATATGCTTTTAACTTTTAATTCGGACATTCAAGCAATCAACCTTATGCCTCAACTTTTTGTCTAAGCTACGTTTTGGAGTTAACGAGTCAAATGAAGCATTTTACGAAGAAGGTTAATGGGCTCCGCAACTCGTTTCCATTTGGTTGCCCTCCGCTAAACATATTCTTAACGAAGTAGTAACTCTATCAATTAGGTTTGGATAGAAGGGGACCATTTTGAGCTTTTTAAAAACAAAATCTCCTTCGGATACTTAATTTCTTGTTAAAAGGCTTGATTAACTTCTTTTTATAACCTTGCATGTGATAAAATGCATGGAACCTTTCTCATTAATCTTGCTCACTTCTTCATATCGGACTTCTAATTCCTGAGTGAGTAGACCAAAGAGAATGGCATTACTCTCGTACAAGTGCCAGCAAAACTTCTTGCTGGACGGTTGATGAACTATCAAATGCAACCAAGTTTGCATTAATGTATTTTTAGGATTGGCTCTTTGAGTGTAGTGTTTGCATAATTCTAAATTTAATCTAAATTAATTTGATAATTCAGTCATTAACAATCATGTTACAATTCTTTTTACTTAGAAATTTTTTTCGTCTTAACCTGCTGCAATATTTTTAATCTTTTTCTTCGGACAATCTCTTGGAATAACTTTTTTTTCAAAGCTTAGTATTTAATGATTTTAAATATGGTAAAGCAATTGCGAAAAAAAAAATATTCTACTACACGATTAGAGGTTTAATTAACTTGAAAAAAATTGAAAAATTAAAGAGAATAATTTAAGAAAGTGCTAACTAAATCCTATTCAGAAGCCGATCAAAGAATGTCAATAAACAAATTGACCGAATTGATGCCATGTGGTTTTATGGTTGTCATCGATTTGATACCATGAGGTTTTATATTTATTATCGAACAAGACGGTCTGACAAACCGATCCAATTTTTAAAAAAGATAGAAGCATTCAAAACCAGTTAATATATATATATATATATATATATATATATAAAAAGAAGGAATAATATTAACCAAACCACATCTTCATTCCAAGTAATATTTCCACAAGGTTCATTAGTTTTCCCCTGTTCATGAGCCGGGCGCCTCCAGCACAATGATAGTCACATCGTTTACATGAAAGCTATTTGTAACCAATGTGTCTGCTTTCGATTATTTATCAAAACATTCAATGCGCACTACCATGAAATATGGTCTCAAATATTAACTTCATTTAGCCTGGAGGCCAGTTCATTTGGCGCCCTCCAAGGAGGTGGACATGAATGTGATACACAGATTGACCTGCAACAGAATAATAATACTATATCAATAAAATTCTATAACAGTAGAAATGGGACATTGATATTTCTCAAATTAAATAAAAACATGGAAGAGAAAGAAAACACAAACATCCTTTAGGGCCATCATTAATCACAATCCTGAAGCCATCTTCCAGTCCTTCCTGTTTTGCAACAAGCTTTGCAGTATAAAGAAGGCGGCCAAGGATTTCACAGTGCCTCTCCTCAGCCTACGATGCAGAATTCACAACAATAAGAACAGAGAGGGATATAATCAGGAATTACCAGGATACTCTTTTAAAAGTTTTGGCAAAAACTGAAGCTCCTTTTTTTGACAACAGGTTGGAGGCAACAAGTTTTATAACAGGACAAAACCACAACCCTAAAACAGAAAAAGCTATAAGACTACAGAGGGATCAAATAAGGAGGGTAGAAGTTCTCAACTATAGTAATTAGGGTTACTTAAATGTTTTGGCGAACCAAACTCCTCTGGTCTACAACAGATTGGAGGTAACAAGCAAGTTCCAGCACAGGACAAAGTTTCAGAAGCAGTATTGGATAAACAAAGCCCAATTCAAAGGTCACAACTCAGCTGCAATTATATTAAATATACACCCTATGCTATAAAATGTAGGTAAACCAGTTCAGGACCAGAAGCTTAAATAAGGATCTTCAATCTTTTGGCCACTAAAGAAGCAGCACATTTTCGGTCTAATAAAATAATCACATACTGTGTGCAAGAAGCAAAATAGTGAAAAGTCTGGATGAAAATTTAAAAAATTGAGATACTTGGGTTTGTGGTCTGAAGCGGGCTTTTAATAGCAGCCATCAGTGGCTGCAGCCATTGAAACTGTTATTGCCACATTTAAGGCCAGAATATTATTCACAAATCGCACAATAAGTAGGTATCACAATGATGCATAGTGGTAGATTGCACATAACGGGAAGTTACAGCAGATTTTTATCTTCCTGCATTTCAATTAGAGTAAAAAAAAAAAAAAACTGTTCTTCCAAAAAATAAAAAATCATCAAACATGAGAACAAACTGTCAAGTTCTAAGGTTGGTATCCGCCAATCTAAAATTTTTATCTTTTCTCCTAGAAATTTTCAAACAACCCTCAATAGCAAATGAGAGAGCTTGCTTCCATGGCCACTAATTAATATTTGGTAAGGCAGGTTCAATTTGAATGTAGATGGAAGGAGATTGTCAATCAGCAGTGGTTTGTCTAGGGGAGTGTGCCAGGCTGTGGGCCATGACCAATGAGACTTGAGTGAGATGGAGATGATGAACAGGGGTTTAGATATTTAGCCAAAAATAAAATAGGAAAAACCAAGGCATTGATATGCTAGAACAGGGTACAATGTCATGCTGATGTAGAACAAGTAGGGTCAAAGTGATAGATGATATAAATTTAGAGTGAAAATCATAGACGCAATTAGGGAGAAATGGAGGAAATAGAAGACTTGGGTGAGAAACCAAAATGAATAAGAGGGCGAAAGTAAGAATAATCAATATCTCATAATCTCAAACTAACATCATCCAGAACTTAATCGAACCTAAATAACGTAAGTATTTATAACCAAACTCAAAACTCTACACTTGGAAAAGAATTAAAATGCTAATTAATATAAAATAACCAAATAATCAGAAATAGCCTAGATACATGCAAAGATTACAATCAAACATGTAAAATATAAAATAAAATCATAGATAACTTAATCTCTCAACTAGCATATTTCCATCCTCCACCACTTGCACTGATATCAACATAAAAGGTGTGAAGTCATGGTTAATGGGTTTTAGGGCATGAAAACTAAATTAATTAGAGGAAGAAATTTGAGAATATATAATTGGAGGAAATTAAGGTCGTAAATGAGATTATTCTAGTGGGATTTACAGTTGAAAATTTTTCACCTAAAGAGAAAGATTATTCAAGGGAGTAAATGGAAATATTTTGTTTGTAAATCAATATAGTTTCAAGGGAGGAAATCGAAATATTTTGTTTGTAAATCAATATGGTTATTAATTAATGTATTTTACTTGTCTGGTCAATAAAAGTAGAGGTGGCAAAATCAAACAGAACCAAAGAAACCCGCTCAACAAAGTTCGAACCAAACTTGTCCAAACACCATTTGATCAAAAAAGTAAAAGACCCAAACCCAAAACGACCCAAACTCGGCAAACCAAAAATGAACCGAACCCAAACTCAAACCGAACCAGAAAAGCATGCTAAAATAGTTATATTTTCCATAAAATCTAAAAAATGACTTGACTAGCCCGAGCCTGAACTTGGTCCAAGAACAAAAAGGCCCTAATTTGAAATGAACTGAGCCCAAGAAAATATGGACCCGAAATGACCCAAACCCAAAATGACCCTATCCTAACCAGCCCAAACCCGCTCAACTGTCACCTCTAATTAAAATTAGATAGTTTAATCATTAAACTATTTTTTTAAATATAGTAAATGTACATAAGAACTATAAAAGTCTAAAGCATAATAAATTATCCAAACAATAGAAATCATTAAGTATAAATTTGTTATTTTATTATATTAGTAGCAGTTAAAAACCAACACATAACAAAATAATGTAAAGTCATGAATGTTGTATCCATGATTAGCACCATTAGATCCACAAGCGCATAACTACTACAATTGTTACATGACGACAATTTAAAACCCTGATCTAAAGCTCTAGTTCAAGAACTCATACCTCTAATTTTGATTCTAGTCCAACCTCATTTAGAACCAAATAAATTTATTCCCATGCTAGGACAATACTATTGGCATAATTTTGTCCTTCAACTAATTATTACAGGTACTTTACTAAGAGAGATTCCCAAAGCTATCATTCTGAGTCTAGAAATCCCTAGGTAGATAAAAATAAAAAATTTTATTTTATAGTTTGCCTCATAATAAACCCCAATTTCTTATTTATATCATTTTCTTGCATGATATTTTCCATTTTGACCTTTCAAATTCTTTGCTCAACACATTTTCAATGTCCATGTTAGAATTGAACAAAAAATTATACTCCCTCCCTAACATAAATTGTTGAAATTGACTTACCGGTCAAATTTTACCAATTCAACTATGTTATTGCAAGTGATGATTTATTAAAATTTTTAAAAATATATCTTTTTGGCCAAAATAAAATTTAAAAAAAAATGAATTGGAATCATTTCCAAATATATATTTATTATAATTTAATTTAATATAATAAAGATTTAAATTAATTTTGGTCATCAATGAAAAAGTTTTAACCAAATAAAATCAAACTAGGGCAATATTTATGGGATGAAAGGAGTAGTGAATTAGTAGTCACACTTTTATATGGATACTAAATTACCGCATTGTGGCACCTTTGAGTCTTATGTTTCTTTTGCTAGTCTCCCTACAATTGTTTTAGTGATTGTAATAACTTGGTGATGAGCTTTTTAATTCTAGCCTCAATTACACACTACTATTTTGTTCATTGGGAAGGTCATTTATTTTCCTACTCTGGCTTATGGAGGACGAGAGGTATTTGTAAATCTTAAAGCTCCAAAACAATTTCTTTCAACTGGGGTTAATGATGGAAGATTGCTTTAAGGTTTTATTAGGGTTTTTCCTTTTTACGTAGGGATATATTTGGAAATTGAGTTTATGTTAGGGATTTATGGCCTGTACCTATTAATACTTGAAATCAAGTGTTAAGGTTTTACTCCCATTGATTCTCTTCATTCCTCTCCCCTGCTAATCTCTTTGGGACCCTCTAATACTACTCTTTTTATCACCAAAATTCCTCTATTTCTTTCCATTTTCCATTTAATTTTCACTCCAATTTTCATTCTTTTTCTATCCCTCATTCAACATCAAGGGAAAGTGAAACGCACAAGCCAAACCAAATTGACAAAAACTGGACAGCATTAATTTAGCAGTCTATATTTTTTCCAATTTCATGCACAGCCATAATTGTAATTTCCTCCATACCAGGGCATAATGTTCACTGTTCAGTTAGATGACAGAAAACAAAAGCAAGAAAACTAATTATACCTTAGACAATCCAGTTAGGCCATCCTTGGATTTTGGAATTATTAAAATGTGTGTAGGAGCCTGGGGATCTATGTCCCTAAATGCTAAAACCTACAAACAAGAGAAAGGCAAACAAATAAGATGTTAGCGCAAATGAATGGCGAATAAACTTAAAACTAGCAGAAAAAAATTAACATATCAAACTAAACAAACAGCAAAAGAATTTTATAGGAACTTGCCCCAAAACAAAAACAGAGGAAAAAAAATGGTAATTCACACATGCAAATGATGGGATCAATGCATGAATCATTAGATATGGGAAAACAATAAAAACATAAATAACATTCAGAAATAGAAAACAAATTAAGCCATAAAAAGTAAAACTTTCAGCTTTAAATTATGTTTTTATGCATAAATTATAGATATAGCTAAGGGCTTTTTGTGCTTCTCCTAATTAAACAAGTGTGAAATTTTATTCCCACATTTCACTCAATGTTAATCAGATATCAGTGCGAGGGCATTTGGCTCACAGAATCTAACTTTTCCTCTCGGAATCTAACTTTTTGTTATCTAATTCCTTCGTTTAGTTGGGAAATTTCACCCCACACCAAGAATTTTACATTTCCATAAGCGTCAAAAAGAGAGATGGTAGGGGAATTAAAAACTCTCCTTTCCCTAAGGAATTTTTAGATTCCGGAGGGAAAATGAATTTTTTCCCCATTTGACCTCACTTAATTACATTTTTAGACTACATAAATAAACTTATTTCCATATGAAATGTAGTAATTATATATTTTGCTTTTTATGGTTTTGACAATGATTATGGTTTTAAGATTAAAAACACGATTTTTGTTGAAAATATCTTATGTAAAAAATTACTTTTCATCAATAACGACGATGTTTTTAGATAAAACACGTAGTTTTTGTTAAAAAATATGAAAAAAAATATTTTTCAGAATTAAACAAAAAAGACATTTCTAAAATAAAAAACCCGATCTTTGTTGAAATTATGAAAAAGAAATTACTTTTTAGAATTCTTTAGTTTCAACGAAAATAATGTATTATTTACGTATCACAAGTTATAAATGGCACGTGCTATTCATATATCATCAAGGATAATATAGTAAAAGATTTTATTAGATAATTTTATACTTCTCTAACCATACAAAAATCTTACATTCCCTAAGGTCAACAAAACCCAAGAATCTTACATTCCCCTTCAACATACTTTCCTCCGAAATCACTTTCCTTCCTAAAATTTAAGTATCCATGAACCAAATGCCCCTTCAAGTTAACAGAAAGGAAAAACCTAATCTTTGATTGTCACCTATTGACCCATTCAACCTGCCAAATATTCAACCCCGCCAGACTGGAAGTTACGGAAAAACACAAGGGCCCAATGCTAAGCCTACCCCAAAAATGATAACTATTTGCTAGCAAAGGAAGATAAGAAACTGTTGATCCAGATTTTGGAGACCAACCCAAAACCCAACCAACCTAAATTGACTTCAAAAGTTAATAACCCTAACGCTAAACTCGCACAACAATCAATCTAAAATGACTCAAACTCAACCAACCTGTCCATTTGCTACATACTTATAAAAAATAGACTAAAAACAAAAAAAGAAAGAAAGTGGGAAAACATGAACAAATGAAAGAAGATAAAGTTCACTTCATAGTTCCAAATGAAGTAGTTTTTAAAGGTTTAGTAGGATAATAAATTGTTGATGACCTTCTGACCCAAATCCATAAAGAATTTAATTCAAATTTTGTAAAAATATTTGTAAAATGTACCAAAAATCTTATCCGATGTTCTAGAACCTTCAAATTTCATCTAAAAATAATAAAAAAAAATACAGTTTAGAAACAAAAGTATTGCATATTGTGAGAAAACACTTATTTATAGCTGGTTCTAATCTTGTAATCTGTATATTTATATTTGTATCTCTAGAATTAAGTATTTGTATCCCTAGAATTAAGGAAGATTTAGTTTCCTAGTTTAACCCCTAGTTAGTTGTATATAAACCTAAGATTCTTGTATAATTCAATATAAGCAGTTTTTCAACATACATTCAGTTTCCACACTGATTTATTTCTTAGTTTTTCCACATGGTATCAGAGCTTTAAGCTCTTCTTGGGAAGAAAAATTTTTAGCCTTCATTACTGACTTTTTTAGGCCTTCATTGCCGAATCCTGTTTAAGCCTTCATTGCCGAACCCTTTCAAAGAAAGATATCACTATCACCCATTTTGAGAAAATGTTAACTGGGAAAATCACTGGAGTAATATAGATGTCTCAGAAACAAAGAGAGTTCAACAGGGAAGAGATTGAAAAGCTGATAAACTTATTGAAAATCCTTAAAAAGCCTACTATGGTATGTTCTTTGGGTAAAGTTTCTAGTTCAAGTAAAGCTTCCGATTCTCATGGATTAAATATCTCGGCTAAGCCTATTACGAGTTCTTGGGTCATTGACTCAGGAGCCACAGATCACATGACACATTCCCCACAAAAGTTTAGTACATATAGCCTGTGTCCTAGTAATAAGAAAATTGTTGTTGCTGATGGTTCACTTACCACAATGGCAGGATTACGAGATGTTCAAGTTAATCCCTAGTTTGTTCTAAAAAATGTTCTTCATGTTCCTGGATTGTCTACTAATCTGATATCTATACAAAAACTTACCAGAGATATGAATTGCAAAGTAACTTTTTATCCCTCTTATTGTGAATTTCAAGACCAGAGTTCGGGAAAGATGATTGGACTTGTAAGGAGAAGGAGGGACTATACTATCTTGAGACATCAAATAACACAAGTAGTATCAAAAATAGTTTACCTTTGTCATTTCTTTCTGAAAAATCTTCCAATAAATACAAAATCTGACTTTATCATTTTCGTCTTGGACATCCTTCTTTTGGAACCTTGAGAAACATGTTTCCTTGTTTGTTCAAAGAATTAAATGTTGAAGATTTTCATTGTGATATTTGCGAATTTGCAAAACATAAATGTGTGTCTTTCCCAATCAATAACAAAAGAAGTTCTACTCCCTTTTACTTGATTCATAGTGACATTTGGGGTCCCTCTACAATTTTTAATATTTCTAGTGCGAGATGGTTTGTTTCATTCATAGATGATTGTACTAGGGTTTCTTGGATTTTTTTACTTAAATCCAAATCAGATGTGAATAGTGTGTTTTTAAGCTTCCAAAATATGATCCAAAATCAATTTGGAGTAAGAATCAAGAGATTTAGGTCTGATAATGCAAGAGAGTACTTCAACCAAAGTCTATCCACCTATTTCCAAAAAGAGGGGATTATCCATGAGTCATCTTGTGTTAATACTCCATAGCAGAATGAAGTGACATAGAGGAAAAATAGCCATTTACTAGCCACAACCCGAGCCTTTCTTTTTCAAGCAAATGTACCTAAATCTTATTGGGGGAAGCTGTTCTCACTGCCACACACATTATAAATAGGTTACCTTCAAAAGTTTTGGGATTTAAACTCCTATGGAACTACTTTCACAATTTTATCCCAACCTCAATACCACAAACAATCTCACACCTAGGATATTTGGTTGTACATCACTTGTTCATGTCCACAGTCATAACAGGGGAAAGTTGGATCCAAGAGCGATTAAGTGTATTTTTGTGGGGTATTCTTCAACTCAAAAGGGATATAAGTGCTATCATCCTCCTACCAAAAAATTTTGTGTTTGCAGATGTCACTTTTGAAGAAAATAAACCATTTTTTACTCAACCTTATCTTCAAGGGGAGACTTCATTCATGGAAGATAAGGATAAAGACTTTTTTTTGCTTGATTTGCCCCCTTCTTCAACATTTACACCCATTAATTCTTTTGAGTCGAAACCTGTTTCTGCTGAGCCCAAGTCAAACACTGAATTTGAGTCTGAACCCATTCCAAATACGAAAGATGTGACAAAAGATAATATTGTTCTTGATTCTATGAAGGAATTACAGGTGTACTCAAGAAGGAAAGTTCCAGATCCTGAACCAGTGCCAATCCAAGAACTTGATCCTAACTCTAGAAATGAGATAACTACAGTTTTTGACTCTGTTTCTCAAAATAAGCATGAATCTCCTAAAACTATAACTAGTGATTATGATTTGCCTATTGCCATTAGGAAAAGAACCAAAGAATGTACCAAGCATCCACTATACCCAATATCTAATTTTGTGTCATTTGAAAAATTCTCACAATCCCACAAAAATTTTCTTGTGAGCCTAAACACTATTTTTGTTCCAACTACATTATCCGAGGCATTATCTAGTGAGAAATGGAGGCAAGCCATGAAAATAGAAATGGAGGCCTTAGAGAAAAATCAAACATGGGAACTGGTAGAGTTGCCTAAAGGAAAAATTCAGTGGGGTGTAAATGGGTTTTCACTGTAAAATACAAGGCAGATGGTACTGTTGAAAGGTATAAAGCCAGGTTAGTGGCTAAGGGCTACACTCAAACCTATGGAGTGGATTACAAGGAAAACTTTGCTCCAGTTGCCAAGATGAATACAGTTAGGATTTTGTTATCATTGGCTGCAAATTACAATTGGCAGCTTCAACAATTTGATGTAAAGAATGCTTTTTTACATGGTGATTTGGAAGAAGAAATATATATGAAGGTTCTACCGGGATTTGGAGATCATCTAGAAGCAAACAAAGTATGCAGGCTAAAAAAGGCTTTATATGGCCTTAAACAGTCTCCTAGAGCTTGGTTCGGGAGATTTGCCAAAGTAATGCTAGCAATTGGATATAAACAGAGTCAAGGAGATCACACATTGTTTATCAAGCACTCTGATTCGGGAGAGTCACGGTTTTATTAGTGTATGTTAATGATATAATTGTAACTGGAGATGATGAAAAAGAGAGAGAATCTCTAAAACAGTGTTTGGCTAGAGAATTTGAGATAAAAGAGCTTGGGAGATTGAAGTACTTCCCAAGAATTGAAGTAGCTCACTCACGGCATGGTATTTTTATCTCACAACAGAAATATGTGATGGATCTTCTGAAGGAAACTGGGAAGCTTGCATGTAAACCTGCAAATACCCCTATAGATCCTAATCATAAAATTGGAAAAGCTAGTGAAGAGGCTGCTGTAAATGGAGAGATGTACCAAAGATTAGTTAGAAGACTCATTTATCTCTCACATACTAGACCTAATATAGCATATGCTGTGAGTGTGGTAAGTCAATTTATGCATAGTCCTAAAGAAGTGCACCTACAGGCTGTCTACCGTATATTGCACTATTTGAAGGCCAATCCTGGGAGAGGTATCTTATTCAAAAGAAATCCAGGGTTAGTTTTAGAAGCATATACAGATGCTGATTATGCAAGTTCAATAACTAATAGAAGATCCACCTCAGGCTACTGCACTTTCTTAGGTGGTAATCTTGTGACTTGGAGCAGTAAAAAACAAAATGTGGTGGCAAGCTCAAGTGCTAAAGCAGAGTTCAGAGCAATGGCTCAAGGAATTTGTGAACTACTATGGTTAAAGATTATCCTAGAAGACTTGAAGATCAAGTGGGATGGACCAATGAGACTCTACTGTGATAACAAGTCTGCAATAAGCATTGCACACAATCCTGTGCAACATGACAGAACAAAACACATTGAAGCAAACCGGCATTTCATAAAGGAGAAACTAGACAGTAGGTTGATTTGTACACCTTATGTATCAACCAAGGGTCAACTTGCAGATGTGTTGACTAAAGGTCTCAGCAGTGCAACATTTCAAGAAATTATTTCCAAGCTGAGAATGGAAAACACCTATTCACCAGCTTGAGGGGGAGTGTGGGAAAACACTTATTTATAGCTGGTTGTAATCTTGTAATCTGTATATTTATATTTGTATCTCTAGAATTAAGTATTTGTATCCCTAGAATTAAGGAAGATTTAGTTTCCTAGTTTAACCCCGAGTTAGTTGTATATAAACCTAAGATTCTTGTATAATTCAATATAAGCAGTTTTTCAACATACATTCAGTTTTCACACTGATTTATTTCTTAGTTTTTCCACACATATATCTTTGTACTTATAAAATGGATAAAACATAAATGTATATACTGAACACTGAGAAGCTAAAAAAGCTTATGCTATCATTTATCATCAATAATAACATTTGAAGACAAGAAAAATTAAAATCATAATTTTTTTGTTACCAATACAATGAGATCCTTTAATAGAAAGCTTATTATTTCTTCATTAAAAAAACTTAGGCCAAAAGAGTGCTAATGTAAATGTATGAGAAAGATGAAGATTGTAGCTGAAAAAAGGTGCAAGATAAATGGTAAAGAGCAGAAATGCATGAACATTACAAGAATGTGGAACAAAGGATACAAAACTGTTAGATATGACATAAAATGTTTGACAAGGGAGAGAGGAATAGAGATGGTTGGTCAGTATTAAATATGGAAAAAGTGTTTGGCAAATAAGATAAATTGACAGATTACAAAACCTTCACCAATAATGATAGTTTAAAGCTTTGGCCAATCAAAGGAAAAGTCATAGATAAGTAATGATTTTTCTTAAATGCAACATTGAGTTGCCAGATTTCTTCATTAGAAAAGATAAAGTTGGATAAAAAAACAGGAAAATTTGCATTTGAAGCACTTCACTTCGGTACACGACACATGCTGTTTAGGCCTAGTAAATTGGGAAAACAGTGATGTAGAACAAGGAAGGGAAGACAGAAAAATAGTGAACTGAGAGAAAAAAGTAGTGAATGATGAAGAAATCACAGGAATCTAAGGGGAAATCTCATTTCACTATATCCCATGGGTCCTAAAGCTGTTAGAAACTAAAATAGCTTGATATTTCTAAAATACTTCCTAAACCTTATTAACTGGTAAATAAGTAAAACACTGATCAATATAAAATGACTGAAATTTCATAAAATTTAAGAAAACGGCAGTCAACTGCATGAAAATATATAATAAATAAGATAAATCACTAATTATATAATTTCTCCATGCAAACATTCTAGCCAGCATCAATAGGCCCATTAACTAAGCTAAAGTCTGATGCAATTTTGTTATATATTAATGAAATAACAAGTGCGTAAACAACTTAGTCGGTGAAATGAATTAAAGAAAAAAAAAATCCAATAAAGCAAAACAATCGTTCCACTTAGTTTGTTATTTTGTCAAATGCGTTTTGCTTTTCATAGAGTGCTAAAAAAAAAGGTAAATACTACTAAAAAGCAAAATCATAATTGCTTAAAATTGAGCAAATGAATAACAATCCTAACATGATAATTATAAACTAAAGTAAAATCTTGAAAAATGTTCTCCAGAAAAAATTACAGTTTGAATTTGTAATTCTTCAAAAATATTATTTGTGTTAAATCCCAACACGCTTTTCTTTTCGCTTCAAGCATCACCAAATCTATATTCAAAAACTGCTTGTAAGACAAACCAAAAAGAAAAACCTCTACTGTATTCTTCTGAGTTAGATGTGCTATCCTATATATTTGACATGAATTGTTTTAGGCCTTAAGGGGCCAAATTCTCAAAATGTACAAGGCCAAGGTACATTCTCCGACATAAAAGTGCAGGGGTTGTTCGCATTTTTACCCTTTTGAAGATAAACACTGAACTACAGCGAGATAAAAGCTCAAAACTAGTGATTTGGAATTGTTACATGCAGCTTAATTACTTGAAATAGAAGACAAAATAAATTCCAAGTCGCTCCCAGAATTTTGGGCGAGGGAAGTTTGTTTTAAGAATCTACAAAAATTTACATATTGACAAACAATTGTCGATAATCTCCTGTTGTAAGAACAAGAACAAAAAAAAATAGGGGTTTAGATACCATGAAACCCTAAGTTTCAAGATGGAAAGTTGGCCATGATTTCTAAAAGATCTTTCCAGCATAGAAATTGACTCCATAGAATTTAACATCAAAGTATAAAAAGATCATTGTAGCACCTTATCATCCTCATACACCACTGTAGATGGGATTTCCTTGTTAATGATTTTGTCAAATCTGAAAAAAAAAAATTAAATGAGAAAGAAAGAACTCGGAGATTCAAATCAAAGTGAATATGGAAGAAACATTTATCGTCGAAAATGATATTAAAAAAAAGATTTTTCTAAAACAAATTTAAGATGAGAGTGAAATTGATGAGAAGAAGAAGAAGAAGAAGAAGAAAGAGAAAAGTGGGCTCACATCGTAGGAGAATCAGAGGGAACAGCAGCAAGGGCAGCTTCTTTCTCCGAAGCCATGAGGGAAGACTCCGATGGCAAACGGGTTAAATGAGAGCTCAAAACTAACAGTCGGCTCCTTATCTCATCACTCATCCAGTCATCACTAACCCTACTTTCCAAGGATTCGGCTTATCTCCATTTCACTGTAAAATGGACGGAAGGATCAAGGGACACATCATCAATAAATAGATCTAAGGACAAAATTATGCCACATTATTATGCAGCGATTGTTAAAAGAAAATTTTATCTTACAAAAAATTGGGTATCAGATTCTGCAAAAGCTTTTGCGTTTGTTCCTAAAAGAATTAATTCATCATCACGTGATCGATAGCATCCAATTATTCTGCGTTCTCCCAACTCATAATTATTCTCAACGACGAACATTTAGAAGAATCCTACTTAATTTTGTTTTCATTAGAAAAAAGACTCTTTTTGTTTGTTTCAGAACCCAATTTTTTAGTCATTTTGCAATCAAATTTCTTTTTAACCTAAGATAATAGAATTGTTCATTTTCATTTTAGAGCATTTGAATAATTTAAGAGGTAAATTGTTGACAAATCTTCTAAAAGTTAGATATAGTGAACATTGATATCGCTAAAAAAAAATCTTACTACTAACATCAGTATCAAAGATAATGTGTGTTCTCACTGCTACTGCCAAATCGGGAAAGTGGATATGTGATTATTGGTGCATTGAACTCAAACTTTAAATTTTGTTTGTCTTGTGTTTTTGTCGTTCTCGACAGTCCATCGCTCCTCTGGCCAGTAAAAGATCCGGTAGTCTCTCTATCTTAGGGTTAAGGGTGAATAATTGATCAATTCTGCCAGTTTGATTTTAAAAAATTAATAATTAAATTAATTAATTTTTATTTAATAAATAATTAAATTCATTTAAAATTTTTAAATAATTCTTTATAATTGAATTGATTAAAATAGATTTAATTTTATTAAATAATTAAAAATTTTATTACTATTTATTATGAATAATTATTTAACTATAAATTTAATTTAATAAAATTTAAAATCAAATATCATTTAAATTAAATCATTAATAATTTAATAATTTTTATAATATTTAAAAAAATAAATAAAAATACTTATCTCAATTTTTTTATCTTTATTTATTAAAAAATTAATTAATTTGATCAATTCGATTATTAGTGTTAAAAATTAAAAACTAACTGATTTAATTATTTTAATCAATCCAAAAATCCACTATAATCAAAATCGAATAGCTTAAACTAAATTAATTTTTTTATTAGATTAGTTAAATTGATTTGAATTTATTTCTACTCATCCTTATTTAAAAGTTTATTTGAATAAATGATGAGATTAATTTTGAAATTAAAAATTATTATAATTATTATTAAAAAATTTTATAAAAATTTTTTTATTAAAATTGATATTTAAATTTAACTATACTAAATATGCGGTGATATCTAAACCCTCACTTAGCTAGCCTTAATCAGCTCGCGCGTTTTGCCCTCATACAGCCCCTCTGCCGCACGTTACACCATCCGCCTCCACTCTACTCAGAGTTGAACGTCCACCCCTCTCTCATACTGAGCAATATGTCGAATCCCCTCTACCCGAGCAACCAGAAAATATATGTGTATTTTTATTTTTTCAAATCATCATATCGCCCCTCCTTCCCTAAAGCAAACTTGTCCGATCCTCTCTCTCCCTCCTTTTGCATGCACTGGTACGAGGAAAAACTTAAACAAAATTTACTCGACGTTTTTTATTAAATAAATAAATCAAAATTAAAAATCAAAATCAATATATTAAAAATTTTTTGTTACACAGATTAGGTACATATAATTTGAAAAAAAATTAATAAATTTTGATAAATTTTTTAAATAAATTTTTTTAATAAAAATTTTGACAAAATTTCTATAGTTTAATAAATATTTATCAAATTTAAATTATAAATGACATTTTTAATAATTTTTTTAGATATTATTTATTTTCATATTAAATTTTATTTATTTATCAGTTTAAATTAAAAGAAAAAAAAACACTTCATAAATTTGACCTAAAAAAATTTAAGTTTTATCCCTGGTATAGACCTCTTCATGTCTAGTTTGTATTTTTTTTGTCAAATTATGTAAAAAATCTCTATACTTTGTAAAAATTTAAAATTTAATCCATAGACTATAATTAATATAAATTTAAATTTTATATTTTTTTAATTTGATAATCTTAATCTAATCATTAACTACATTAATCTTTTACTTTTAAAAATGCTAATGGGGCTATTGACTTTATGATATAACGTTGACTTTATCAATGTGGTAATTTAGATAGCTTAAATCAATTATTATATTATATAAATTATTCATATACTCATACAAAAATTTAAATTTAGTTTATATACTCGCATGAAGTTTAAAATTTAATCCCTCTAATGTGAAGAAATATTTTAAATTTTTTAAAAATTTTTTAATGTTTTTTTAAATATTAATTTTACTTTTTCAATATTTTAATTTTTTAAATAATTTTTTGTAATCAATTCACCCAAAATATTTATTTCACCATTTGAGCCCTTGTTAGAAGCAAAATGAAATTTTTTTTATCCAATTGATGATTTAATTTGGTGAAAATATATATATAAGGGTTTAACTAATTTAAAATAGAAGATCTAGGGTTTAATTAATTGCAATAATATATTAAGAGTTTAAATGATTATTAAATTTTTTGTTTAAGAACTTTTTTTATCCTTTTGCCTTTTATGTTTTTTAGAAATTTTCTATATTTTTTAACATTTAAATGAAAAAATAAGTAAATAAAACTATAAAGAAGACATGGGTCTCTAAAATTTATTCTATTAGGTATATTTGAAATGAAAGAGCAAAAACTTTAGGTAAAATAGACAAATAACGAAACATGAAAAGTTTCTAATTTTGATTTATTCTTCACTTGAATAAGATAAAAAAATATGTAATTTTTTAAAAATTTATACTTTTTTTAAAAACATAAAATATTTTTAAAATTTTCTAAAAACATTAAAATTAAAAAATACAAAAAAATTTATAAAAATTCCAAAACTTAAAAATAATAAATTTAAATATTTTGTTTAAATAAAATTGTTAAATTTTGAAAAAATACAAAAACTTTCAAAAAATTAAATTAAAAAAATTAAAATATTAAAAAATTTAATATTTCTTAAAACAAAAAAACTATTAAAAAATTTAAATATTTTTATATAAAAAAATTAGATTTCAAAATTTACGTGAGCATAATGATTAAATTTCAACTTTATATAATTTAATAATTGATTTTATTCATCCAATTTGTCATATTAACAAGTCTATGCTTATATCATCAAATCAATAATTATATCAATATTTTTAATAATAAAAATTATTAAAATTAATGATTAAATTAAAATTATCAAATCAAAATAATTTATTGACGGTCATACTCAATGATATAGGCTAGAAACTTCAAAGGAGGTGGGCCAGCATATCATCGCGGCTTTATGAGTGGGTCCAGTCCAAAAATATAGTATTAATTTAAATAATAGTTAATTTAGTTAATGTCAAGATTAGTTATGGGATTGGTTAAAAATGATGTCAGGGTTGCTACAACGTCGCAATTTATTATAGATGTTTTAAAAGGAGGAACGATGATTGTATGGGCATCATTCAATACAATTCTTGAATAATCTCTCAAATTCTCAATCTCTTTTTTCTTTCTCTTCTCTAATCATAGATGGGAGATATGAAAATATTAACAAAAACTCATAAATAATACCTTTTAAATCATGTAAAAGGCAATGGTGCAAAGCCTCACATTTTTACATTTTTCATTCAATGGGAATTACAATCTTTAAAAATGTGACAAACACAAATTAAAAAAAAAAACAAAAAAACCAAAATAATATGCTAAATGCTAGAAAACCTAAAAACCATAAAAAAGTCATTGAAATATTTAAGGTTGAGCCTTCTATTTATAATAGTGAATAAATGACATAATAATTAAAGTTTTAAAATGAATATTTAATGTAAACTAAGTTATTTGGTCATAACTTGTTGAATCATTGATGGAATAAAAAGGGTCGTAACTTACTAAAAGATTTAAACGTCCAATCGTCCATCCTTAAAATTTAGATTCTGATTAAGAGTGTAAATGATACATTAGTACTCGTAAGTTATTCGGGTTCGATTCGAAAAAAACTCGAATTCGATTCGATTATTGTCGAGCTCGAGTAACTCGACTTATCGATCAAGCTGAATTCGAGTATTCTTATATCTGACTCAAGTAGCTCGTGAGCCTAATCGAGCTTTTATATTTAAATATATTTTTATTATTTTAATTAATAAAATATTTCGAGTGCGAGTTCGAATTCAAGTTCGAATTATTAGCATGAATAATCGAACTCTTATCGAGTATATGAATCGAGTTTATTTTTACATATTAATCAAACTTAATCGAGCGAGTTTGAGTAGCTCGAATTCGATCACGAATCGAATTCGAACTTGAAAAATAAAATTCGATTGAGCACGAATCGAGTATCGAACCCCGAATTATAAGTCGAACTCAAATTTGAGTTTCTCACTATTCGACTTGACTCGACTCATTTACAGTCCTAATTCTGACACGAGATCATTGACTGCAACCATTGACCACCATATGTAACTTTTAGCTGTTACTCGTCGACGTCTTTTTCACTTCAAAATTTTATCATTTTTTCATCTCAAACCTCTCATCAAATCTCTCGAATTAATTTTTTTTTTAAAGTGCCTAGAATTTCATTGATTTTTAAATTGAAGTCATAAATAGCCAAATAGAAAAGATAGAATTTTATTGTAAGTAGTCATGAATAAATAAAACCAAGGAATTAAGAGAATTAAATTTCATTAAAATAGTTTCAAGGTACTATGCGACAAAATCCTTAATATAGTTATAATTTTTTTCTATTTTTTCATTTATTTAATTTTTAATCAATTCCAAATGTATTCTCTTTCATGATAATTTTATTCTTTCATAATTTAATTCAAAAATAAAATATATTTATTAAATTAGATTATTAACCAAGTTAATTATAATAATTTACTATAATTTTATATTTATTTATTTACTTATTTATTTGATGTTTAAAATTTTGGGATATTAAATATTTATGATTTTAAAAATATATATATACTTGATTAAAATTTTTTATTTGAGATTTTAATATATTAAATTTAATATTATTTATTTGATATTTTAAATTTTTCTTATATAAAAATTCAAAAAAAATCCAATGAACACGAAAAGATAAGTCAAAACACATTCTAACTTTTATATATTCTTTTATATATTGTATTTAACCTAAATAACTTTTTTTGGGACGATGAATAATAAAATCAGACAGCCCACGTGCAAGGGCCTCAAACGACCCCACCGCATTGTATGTATCTCTGGCTGTTTGAATTGAATTTCGTCGTTTCGGCGCCTGATACCGTTGGATCAAAAATCTGAAAATCAAGGGAGGAGATAAAAGCCCTAAAGGCATAAACACTGCAGCTCGTTCTCCGCCTGGCTTCCAAAATAACCTCATTTTTCATTTTTCATTGTTTCATCCTTTTATTGCAGTCGCGCCATTCATATTCATACTTATTAAGGTGGGTTCAATGCTTAATTCTCTGTTTATTTGATTAAGTTGTTACTTTCTTCCGTTTCTGTCAATTCTTTTTCCAACTCTTACTTGGATTTGCTGTTTCTTTTTCTCGTGATTTTGCATCCCACTTAGCCCCTTTGTCTTTAGATCTGGTAACTTGGATTGTTTGGTTTAGTCATATTTTTGGGAAATTTTTAAGTAAAAATTTTTATAGCTTTGAAGTTTAGCTCAGTGAAGATTTCATGTTTACATGTATTCTTCCAGCAGCCTGAATTTATCATTCTTCAGATTTCAAGCTTAACTTAGATTTTAGTGTTTTTCACCTTTGCCTGTTCTTTCCTTTTATTTTGGTCTCAACCTTCGTTATTTTGTTAGGGCTGAGAAGGGTGGTTTGATGAGGAGTTCGTTTGCTTATTGTAATTTCTTTTTTTATTTTACTTTAATTTCTGCAATATTAGTGGCTATAAACAATTATGGTTATTTGATTTTTTTTTTTTTGAGCCTTCCATGGCTATTATGTCTTGTCAGTGCATGGATGATAGATTGCTGTGTCAGAATTTTACAGTTTTGCTGTTGTCAGAGGTTTTTTTGTTGGATGGATTGTTTCTTATGCTTCATCTGTAGTGTGTTTTATTTATTTCCTTTTTTACTTCTGTTAGGTTTGTTTCTTCAAGTCTTTCTGTGTTTTGATTCTTGTTTGCGGACTTGCTTTTTACTCCTTTGTGCAGATGAATGTGGAGAGGCTCATGAAGATGGCCGGTGCTGTCCGTACTGGCGGAAAGGGTAGCATGAGAAGGTATGTTCATGGTTTGAAATTTCCCTAAGGCTAGCTATATGAAGTTTTATGGGGTGAATTCCTAAATCCCCCTATAGATTAGTAAAGCACACAAACAAACCCCCTCCTATTTGAAAATGTTGTTTTACATCCCTTGACTGTTGTCTTTGTGAAACTGTTACTCTCCTTGGACCCATGTTTAAAATTTGCCATCAAAAGTTGCCCTCATGGCATCATCTTAATGTCCAAAATTAATCTAAATATTTTTTTTCTCAAACAAAAAAAAAATCAATTCAAGGATAGAAACTGAGTAATAAAAGGAGTTGAGGTAGAATGAGAGCAAATTTCTGAGCTTCAAAATTTCCTTCTTCATTCCCTTTATATATATATATATATATATATATATATATATATATATTTGGGAGAGAATTACTTATCCTAAAAGAATCAAACAGAGAACAAATTTGATGAATCTCTAGTATCTATGCATGAATCAAACAAAGATTTAGGTGTATAACATGTATTGACCAAAAATTAACAAATCAAAGAGATAAAAAAATGCAACTATAAAGATCAATAGATAAACGAAAAGAATAAGGATTTATCCAGCATGAATGCACTCGGTACTGGTTATCATGATGATTTGAGGCTTGAGACTAATTGCATTGCAATTGAACCCATAGTTTCTCTAAGCTTGTAATGAGCGATCCTTTTTATATATTTACATTTGTCCTTACATTCTACCTTTTTGAAGAGAAAATAAAACCCTTTTGATAGTGATAGAACAACATAAGAATTCTTTTTGCTGTGAAGAAAAGAAAGAATTAGAACTATGTTTTTTTTAATATACATATATAAGAGAGAGGAAAAACAAAGTTGAGAATTGGGTAGGGGAAATCTTCCGTGTTTTAGATATGAGATGGGCAACAGAGATTGAGATGGTAGTGGAAAAGAAAAAGAAAGATGCTGCATCCATTGTGAGTGGAGGGAAGTGGGAGAAGTGAGAAAGGTAAAGAGAGTAAAAAGTGAAAATCCATCCAAAGAAAGAGAAAAATATAATATAGAAAAGGGAAAGCAAAAAATTAAAAGTGATGAGGTTGGCAAAATTTAAGTTGACAAATCTGCAGTTGCTAAAATTTAAGCTGAATGGGCAATGGTTGTTAGGAGAGTAACGATTTGACTACCCAAAATAACAGTAAAGGGGAGTAAAATAACATTTTCAAACAAGAAGGGGTTTTGTGTCTTGTTCTAATGTATTTAGGTTTTGGAATTCAAGTCGGTTGTCTTCGAAAATGTGGGGATAAGTTTTTTTTTCTTTCAATTATTTAGGAGGGACTCTTGAATCAACTTTTTTCCTTACCGTGCAATGTTTGGTTAGCGAACATGTCAAGTGCAAGGTTTTATGATATTATTTTAATCTATCCTCTTTGTCATTTGTAACTTCAATTTCTTGGTCATTTTTAACTTCAATCTGAAGTGCCATTGCCCCCATTGAAATCTTGAAATGTTTTGGTATAGTATAATAATATTTTAAATTTACTTCAATTTTAATTTTCCCACTAAATTGGAAGAAAAAAAATGTTTTGATCTTTAAAAGAAAATTTTGGGAATTTCATTAGTCGATCACTCAAAAGTTTAAACTAGTGGGTGATATTTGCATTAAAAGATCTTTTTTTTTGTGCAAATTTATTGGGGTAAACGTGAATAAAACAAAAACAAAGATTATTTATTTAATATGACAACCAATTTTCAGGATCTGCCCTGATTGTAAGCCATCTAAAAAGTGGGTGGCTGAATTTTGATCATTATCTTGTTATTTTAACCTATGTTAATAGAAAGAAGAAGGCTGTCCACAAGACAACTACCACTGATGACAAAAGGCTGCAGAGCACCCTCAAGAGAATAGGAGTAAATGCTATTCCTGCAATTGAGGAAGTCAACATATTCAAGGATGATGTTGTTGTCCAGTTTAGTAACCCAAAAGGTAGATTGCTTAATTGACATGGACCGTGTAATCTATTGAAATGTTTTGCAAGATAAACTAATGTGTGATGGTCTATATTTCAGTTCAAGCTGCTCTTGCTGCCAACACCTGGGTTGTTAGTGGTTCCCCTCAGACAAAGAGTATACCTCTCTTAACTTTAGAGCCTCTGAAAGTTTATCAAATGTTACTTACTATTTACTCTTTGAAAATTCTCTACCATTATCCCTAAAGGCTTCAAAGACTAACGGTTTTTCCTCAGCAATTATATGTTTTTCCTTACATTTTAAGCTTAGTTATGCGTCATATTTTGACATGTACTTTATTCCCCGATTCCAGAATTGCAGGATATTCTCCCTGGAATCATCAACCAATTAGGTATGTGCTCCTGGCACTATTTGGTTTCCTTTTTTTTTTTTTGTGATTGTTTCTAGATTTCAAATGGATATCAACTTTTGACCCTTGTAAAATTTTTAGGGCCAGATAATTTGGATAACTTGAGGAAGTTGGCAGAGCAATTCCAGAAGCAGGCACCTGCTGCTGGTGCTGGTGCAACCAACACTCAAGAAGAGGATGATGATGATGATGTACCAGAACTCGTAGCTGGTGAGACCTTCGAAGCTGCAGCAGAAGAAGGTCATGCTGCTAAATAGAGTTTTTAGTGATTTAGTTTTCTGCTGTTTTATGATTCTGATGAATTACTTTTTTTTTTTTGGCTTACAATTTACTCTTGATCTGGTTGATTCCCTCACTGTGACACGTGATAGTATTAGTATAGTGTTTTGGTTCACAAGAAGTCTTCTTTTTTAAGAACTCCGGATATTTTGCTGACAGAATCTTTTTATCAATGCCAAGGTTCCTTAAACGTTCAATATGTTTAGTTAATCAAATATGCCAGAATGAAATTATATGATATCAGTTGTTAATAAATCCAATAGAATTACAAAAAACACTTGTGTAAGAAAAAAATTGATACTCCTTTATTTGACTCGGTGTGGAAATTAAGTAAATTATTTTTTACTTTTACTGTTATTTATATTTTTTAAATAACAAACTTTTAACATAGATAAATAACAGTTTTTTTATCCTAGTTTTCATAATGCACAGGTCTAAAAATCCGAATGGTTTGGAATTCAAGTATTCAGAATCCAATGGACCTCGGTGATTAATTATAAGGGACTTGTTATCATTTTTTTTATTTATTGCTCACTTAATAAAATTTAATTTTTACTAATAAAATTTTAAATTTAATTTAAGATTTATTTAAAATGATAAGATTTTTATTTATGAAAAATAAAGCTTAATGCAATAGTATGATTAAGAATAGAGAATGTGTTGGAAGAATTGTATCATTAATCATGTGTTATTGTCAATGGGCTTTGATAAGATGGCCTTTCATTTTATTTTTTTTAAAATTTTTTATTTATAATCAATTTTTCTACCTTATTTATTTAAATATAGGAGATTTTACTTAAGTTATTTTGATTTTTTTGCAATAATTTAAAAATACATCTTCATTTTAAAAGTATTTAAAAAATTACTTATTTTTTAAGAGAATTTGTCGTTGAATTCATTGAATGTTTTATCCAAAAAACCATTAATTAAAACTATTTTATTCTTTTTTCATTTCAATGTTTTAGAGTTTTCTTTCTTTCTTTTTCATTGTGTTTCACATTTTTATTCTTTTTTAATTTAACCTAAGGTCTTTCTTTAGAAATAAAAGAAAACTATTGCCATTAGAAAATTTTCTAAATTTTCAAATACTATTAGCAAAATTTAGAAAAATCTCTTCGCCTAAAATTTTTCAAAAAATATATTTTTATGATTTTTTAAAATTTTCATCATTAGATTAGTTACCCTTTTTTTGCATGATTAAATGTGATGGATATGATACAAGTAAAATCAATATGATACAAATAAATTTTCACAATTTTATTCTCTGTATGTTCCAATTAATTTTTCTTTAGAAAATGTAGTCCTTAATTAATTATTTAAAAAAAAATCTTCTTCCTAAAAATAATTTTTGAGATTTCTCAATACTTTTGATAGGATCTCATAACCATTTCTACATAAAAAATAAAAATTTAGAAAAGAATTTATACTTTCAACATTATTAATTCTTTTTAGAAAATATTTATCAACTAGCTACTGTATTTATTATTTTTCATTCATTATAATTTAACCACTTTTTTAACTCTAATATTATTTTCGGTCAACTTCTCAAATCTAAAATCTTGTATATAATAATATAATAATTAGCCCACAGATTATTATCTTATATAATGTCCATGAAATCTAACATTTTACAAGCGGACCGTTTTATTTATTATGTGTCTTTTTAAAGAAAATAAACATCTTTTTTTTTTTTTTTTTTTAACTTTGACGTTAATGTCTCATTAACTTTGGGAAAGGTGTAACCTAACCCAACGAAATAAGCAAAAGAGATCAAAGATGGAAGTTAGGTAGAAAAGCTTAGAGCTTTGGCGATTATAAGTGATGAAATGAAAAACACGTTTATTTTCTTTAAAAACACACATGATGAATAAAGAAATTTGCTTGTGAAGTTTTTAGATTTCACTAATAATGCTTAAGATAATAATCAATAAAAAAGATAGTACTTTACCCCAAACGGGCTTATCCCAAAGAAAATGGACTATGAAACCTGTTTTTGTGTGAATACAAGTTTGGGTTAGTTCATCGGTTGGATTGTGGCAGCAAACTATTTCTACATCTTATCCTATTTCGATTTTTCTTCTTTACCTTAAACGGTACTATTTAAGTGCATGATATATAAACTTTACTTGGAAAATCCTCAATCATTTTCCTCCCTCTTTCCTTTCTCTATCAGCGTATACTTTCTTTAACCAAAAATCCAAGCCATTGTTCATCACTGCCTTTGCTTTTTTTTCATGTGCGTATGTTTGACCATATGAGTCATCACTTTATTAATTTATATATCGAAAATTAAAATTGATTTCAAGGTCTCAAGTCTTATTTTTATTAAAAAAAATTAGATTAAAAATTTGGATACAAGTTTAAGAGGAATTAAAGCTTTTATCCTATTTGGGATAAGTCATCCTTTGCTCCACATATATATTTGTATTATATTATATTATTATCTTGATTTTAATACAAATACACAATTTATGAACAAACGGATGTTTAACTAGTCATACATACATCTAAATAAATACAAGTGGATTAACAATCTTGAATGGCCTAATAATCATTAAACATGATGCAAGTATACACTTATAACATTAATAGCATAATTAAAAAAACATAAATAAATAATTTCAAAAAATAACATAAAATAAATTATAAGAAGTAAAATCATTAATATATCGCATAATATAAGCATAAATAGTATAAGAGTTAATGTTATGAATAACTCTTAAACTATAGTAAAATATTCAATGTCGTATTTGAATTTTAAAAATTTTTAATGTAGTACTTAAATTATAAATATATTAGCTAAGGTGGTACTTGTGGGTTGTTTATTTTTCACATATTATTATTTGAAGCTAGTTACATTAGAGCTAGTACTATATTAGTTAACAATTCATAGTTTAGGTGAATACTATTTAATGTTCAGTCATAAGGCATACACTAACAATCTCTCACTTGTACTAATGCCAATCACCTTGGTATTCAATACCAAACTCCTCCATTTGGCAATATGAAATGTGACATAGTAAAAGAATTTGTTAGATTATCCTTTGTGGGAACTTGCTCTACTTTTGTACCACTTTTTTTTATTATTTTATGATTGAATGGTAATACTTCAATACATGTTTGGATCATTGATAATACCTTGGCTCCTTTTGCTTATGCAATGGCTTCATTATTCTTAATGTTGCTTGTAACCATAAAATTCAACATTTATACTCTTAATTCAAACTACCACTATTGTCACCTTAAACAAAAAGTTGAATTTAGGTTAGGATTGTAGAATCCATGATCAAGTCGTGTTTGAAACTCTTTCCAACAAATCATTTCACCACATAAAATAAAACATAATCACTCTGTAACTTGTTATCACCCTTGTCGAATTAATAGTTAATGTTAAATATCCTTTTATATGGTTTTCAGCTTTTTCATATACTAGAAAACATATATTATAATGAATAACATTTGTATATGATAGATGCAATTTTCAAAACATATTGTAATATATCCATGTGATCTCTCTTATCTTGTGTATCTTGTGTCCTAAGACACATAACTTCGAAGAGATTCATGTAATGTAATATAGACAAGTATCTTCTTGTTATATTTTTTTAACATATTGTCTATGTTTATCTTATATAACATAGGCAAATATCTACTTTTAGATTCTTTTATGTTAAACCCTTTTTAACATTTGGTTGTACATGTGGCTTAAGAGAGTTTAACAACCTTTTAGATATTTTGATCCTTCTAAATCTTTATCCCATTAAGTGGTTTGTCTCTTTTATATCCATTATGAAGATTTGCTTTGGATAGCTAAATTTTTTATAGATCATAACATAAATACTTGTTTCATATAAGCTATAAGTCATTCAAATAAAGCACCATCAAAACAATAATACTCCTATGAACTTTCTTATATACACAAGATTCACCATTATCTTTCATGAAATCAAAAATTATTTTGATAGCCTTATAAAAAACTAATGTTTCAACTCTTTTTATGCTTACTTAAGTCCACACATGGATCTTTGCAAGTTGCATCTAATTAAAATTTTATTTAAACGTAAAACTTTTAAATTATGTATCAAAATTCCTTTTAAAGAATGTGGTTTTGATAGCTAAATTCCATTCTTATGGTATGAAAAGTAATAAGCAAAACCTCAATAAACTTTAGCATAGCTATATGAGAAAAAATTTCTCCAAAATTAAAATTTTGCCTTTGTTTATAACCTTTAGCTATTAGCTTTACTTTGTACATTTTTACATTCTTATCCGTATCAATTTTTCCTTAAAAATCCACTTGCACTCTCTGGATTTTATACCTTTAGATTGGTCCAACAATGTTTATACTTATATTGCTTAAATGGAATCCATTTGTTATTTTATGGCCTTAAGCCATTTATTGAAGTCAATGTTTAAAATTGGTTTCTCATATATAGTAGGGTTATCATCTATAAGCAATATAAATCTTTGTCCAATAAAAATTTATAATCTTTTGGAGCTTGATGTATCTTACTCAACCTTTGAAGTTCTTATGTACTTTAAGATCTTGGCCGTAAATTCAATGCTTTAGTCACATGCCATTGTTCCATCAAAATATTTCATTTATCTTTTTTAAACTATTTCAACTTTTACTTTATTCCCACAACTTTTGTCTTTTAGAAAAATGACATTTTAAGACGAAATCTTTGCTCAAAAGAATTATAGAATGTTATATAAATGTTTCTCTTTTGGATATCCACAAACTTACTTTTATCTGACTTAGCTCAATGCTTGTTGAATGATGCATGCTTCACATAAGCCATGCATTCCCAAAACTTTAAGTATGATATGTGTGGCATCTTTTTCATTCCATATTGTATATGATACCATGTCAATAGATTTGAATGGAACCTTATTTAGTAGATAAGTGTTAGCTTTTAGGGTATATCCCGAAAGAAAGTAAAGAGATTAGAATATTTCTCAAGGATCGAACCATATCCAGCAAGGTTAAATTTTTTCATTTGGTAACACTCTTTGGTTATGAAGTTTAAAATGAAATTTACCATGAGTGAATCTCATTCTTTTTTAGATAACCTAAGAATTCTTAGCTTAAGTGTTCTCCATCTTGATTGGATCATAGTGTTAAATACCTTTTT